ATCAAAGATTGATGCAATGTGTATGCAATCTTTGTGTGCTGTATGGGGAAAGAAAAATATATGGTTCCATTTAAAAAAACATTATTTGAAGAACATTTTCTCAGAAAAATTTCAAAATTGTTTATTTTTTAACAAAAAATCGAAGTCAAATAATGTTTTTTTAAATGGAACCATACATTTTTCTTTCCATATTCTTGTAGTACATAAAAATACGAATTTATCGATATAGTATTATGTATCATTTTGATTATTCAATCTCAAGATAATTTAATTAATACTTACATTCAATTAATACGTACATAATCCACGAATACATAGAAATACTAGTCATCGAAATACGTAGAGAAGAATTGAAACATACATAAAGGTGAAGTACATACATTTACTTGAATAAATATGTACTTGATAGAAACACCGTTGAATAAACGTACTTCACCTTTATGTATGTTCAATTCTTCTTTACGTATTTCGATGACTACTATTTCTATGTATTCGTAGATTATGTTGTAAGAATTAATTGCCCAGCAAACGAAAATGTATTGAATGGAATTGAGATGAGATTGCCGGAAATTCAATTAAGAATTTTCCGAATTCCATTTTGTCAAAAAAGGGAATTGGAATGGTTTTCAATACCATGGAATTCCTGATTCCAGAAAGAATTTTGGCTTCTTGAATCCCATCTAATTCCGACACAAAGAACGTAATGGAACGAATATCACTGAATGCCAGATTAGGAATTGAAAAAGTTCCATATTGAATTCCATCGAATTCCGAATATTCCGTAAATGAAATAAATATCATTGAATACCAGGTTAGAAATTCGAAACGATCATGTTTAATTTTCAATTATCGCACTTTCATATGAATTCCTATCAATTCCGAACTTGGAATTTATTCTGTATCGATTTTAATTCCAGGTAATCCTGTTCCTTGTAAGTACACATTTAATCCTTGTCAATTCCAATACAGGAATTTAACCGCGGAAGTATTTTTGTTCTGTCAAATTTCAATAGCACATAAATTTTTGATAATTCCATTTTTAAAATTTGTCTTACAACTATTTAATTGAAACAAATCCAGAGTATCTGTTTATTTTGCGAAACGTATATATTCATACGAAATATAAAAGTAGAAATAATGTATATTTAAAACATGTGTGTATAGTATTTCTTAAGTATTAATTACATTTTTGCAACTTTAAAATAAACAGAATTATGTGAAACGTCCGCAAATGTAAAGTCTATAATGTACATTGTCTTAATAAAATAAAACGTTCTGCAAGTTTTGTTTACAAAAATGGGATTTTTATTTATCAATTTTACAATTTCGTCATACAAGTTGATAATAAAATATAAGAATAAGATTCGCAATTCTACATAACATTATGCTTCGTTGATTTCAAAAAGCTTACAAAAGTACAAATTTCTATATTAATCAATCGGCTTCGAATAAATTTGCTATAGAACAGGCCTGGCCAAAAGCTTGCTCGCGAGCAAGCTTTTGGCCAGGCCTGGTCTATGAGAACCATCTTCGAAGCAACATCGACTATCGGTACTAATAGTCGGCTATTTGTTTCTAACGATCTTATCTTCCACATATGTGGCATTTCAACTTCTCCGATAACGATCTTCTCAATAGAAAATTCGTTTACATTAAAATAACACCCAGTATCTGGCAAACTGATTATTTCAGAAATTTGTACAATCTTCTCAGACTTGAGTTGGACAATACTATTATTCCATCTTTTAGATCGAGTGTAATTTTTATTTTAGTATAACTGGCAGTTATATATACATTTGTTGTACCCCTAGCTATGCATGCATCTTTATAATGTACAAATCCAAAAAATGTTACACCATCTTTCACTTCCACGCTTCGAGTTAAACGACTTTCACAAAATTCTCGCAACTCTCGCACAAGCTTCTCGCAATACATTTTTACATCGTTTGATAAGGAATGCGTGGCTACGCCTACTCGATATGTCATGACTTGTAAAGATTTTTTGGCAATTTGTTGTTCCACACCTTTTGGTCCATTGACTAATTGTTTCAAAACAAAAATATTGCTTTCGTATGGAAAAACCGATGTAGCCCAAAGAGAGACTTTTGAACTGACTGAACGGCATGGATAAGAGAATGTACACACGGGGACAGGAATGCCTTCTCACATGAAGTTACACGCGTCTCGTCGACATGTCAGGCATGCATATCGGACATGCGTGCTTCACCTCTCAATATTCGTGCATTATAACTGTAGATAAACTGTAGATTCGAAAAACGGATACGTCAAATTATGTACTGTTAATTACATTTTCCCGCTTTGAGACGGCGTTGCCCGTTTTTCGAATATCTACAGTTATAATGCACGAATATTGAGAGGAATATTTGCTTTGCGCTGTGACTTAGAATTTTTGTGAACAACTCCCACACATGCTTTGTTACGCCTAAAATAATGGCATACCATTAAGTGGAAAACCCCAGACCATATCAAAATAGGGAAATGATGCAAGTACCGAATGGCCTTTCACTCCTCGACTTCGTGATACTATAGGGGTTATAGCGGATACTTGAACATCTTGTAAATGAGACTCGTAAGTTCTTAATTCAGATTCTTCGTATTCGAAAAGATACCGTATTGCAGAAAGATATAATCCAGGGTAATAACAGTAGCTACATCCAAAATAATCATTAAATTGGACCTTATTTTGGATTATAGCTTGAGCTACGGAATCGACCGACCAACATAACATTGTTAGTGTACATGAGGTTTGTACATCATTAATCGTTATGCCAAAATCGATATCGTCTTCACATAATCGAAATATTTGTTGAACTAACTCTTCGAGGTATATGTTCATAAGCCGAGAAGTCAGCTCATGCTTAACAATCATGACACCTGCCATTAATACCTATTTGAATCTCATTTTTGGTGGCAAATCGTTTAAAATAAGTTGAAGAGGCCAAAAGCTTTGTTTTGATTTATGAAATAATGGCGCTCCGTCAATATTAATATTATACGTTAAAGAAGTGGGACATTTTGTAATAATTTCGCGATATAATTCTTCGTCACTTAAGTCAGTAATGCACCCGTCTTCCCTAATGTTCCTAGCATTCATTTTTTGAATAAGAGCTTTCCGAACATTTGTATCCTGCAGAACTAAATCAATTTGATATCGCAGATCTATCGATACAAACATGTTTTTTCTTAACAAAAAAAATTTTGTGTTTGCGGTTGCAAGATTCGCACAATTTTCGATTCGCAGCAAACTGTTGCTTCGTAGTTAAATACAATTTACTATTACAATTTACTATTACAACTAGTGCAATAAAAATGATAACTTATTTTGTCATCCGGTGGGTTAAACTGCTTCGCAAATCTATAATTTGATACACTAATATTATGAAAAACTGGTCCTGCACAATTTTAAATCTCTATAGATATCCTTTTAATAACCTAACAATTATATGTATAATATTTTTATTAATCAGATTATTCACAATTATTAAAATCTCTTTATTAAAATCAAAACCCTTACAAAAAATTTCTAATTAATCTTATATCTCTTTTTTTATAATCATAAAAAAATTTAACTTAGTGACTATATTAAATGACTCCTTACTAAAATTACCCACTCCAACAAACATTTCATACTGATGAAACTTCGGATCTCTCCTAGGAATATTTTTAGCTATTCAAATTATTAGGGGATTTTTAAGAGTTCCATTATAAATTTGCTTCATTAGAGGTATTGTATCGCAAACAATGCCCAGCAACCATCGTGATAACATCGTTTACACTTAAGCCTGACGCCGGAAACATTATTGTATGCATCCTGTATGCATATGCAATGCTTCAGTTTGCGTGTCTATGTCATCTTCATCTTTATTTTGAATGTTGTCTCTCTTCATCTGCGTCTTGAATTTTGTCATCTTCCTTTTCATCTTGAATGTTACGATCTTCATCTTCGCCTTCAACGTTGTCATCTTTATCTTCGTCTTAAATGTTGTGATCTTCATCTTCGCCTTCAATGTTGTAATCTTCATCTTCGTCTTGAATTGTCATCACTCCCTGTGGCGCTACCAGCGTCTATTATATTGTCCTCAAATCCATATCCTCATTAGATACTTTGACTGTAATAAATATTTTTTTCTCATATTCTCATCAGAGAATGTCATATATGATACCTGTCATATATTTTCATGTGTAGTACAAGTTTTCTTTTAAAAAAAATAGCGACTTGGTCGGTAAGTCAAACACAAAAAAAAAATATTAAGATGTCTTGGAATAAAAAAATTCACCATACAGCAGATACAAAATATTTTTTATGATTGCGATAAAAAAAACGTGATAATAAAGAAGTACCCAAAAGTTGGACAGTCACTAATAAGATTGAAATCAGTTAAAATAATATTATACCTGTGCGTTCATTTATGTGAAGTAGCATTGTGTCGTATTTCCGTTTCCACCTCGTGTATGTAGCTTTCGACACCATATTTTTGTTGAAGTTTGCTTGTAGCCACAGTTTATATCGTTTTCTTTCCATGTCGTATTCAGTGTTTCAATATTCACTGCAATTATGCAACAAAAAGTATTAGCAATATACTACAGCATTTTACTGCATCAATTTTACAACAAAAATATAGACAAAAATATTAAATTTACGACAAAATTATAAAAAAAGATTGCAAATGTTTGGAATTAATTTGCATACATAAATTACGCTGTTGGAATTAATTTGCACACATAAATTACACTGTTGGAATTAATTTGCATACATAAATTGCAACAAGCATTTGAACACATTGTGACATTCAAGTAAGACGAAAAAATGCTGCATGATTATAACAGATAAAAGAAATTGATTAGGTTTATTCATCCGCTAGAAATAAAACATAAATAAAGCCCCTATATAAGATGCAAAAGCATATATACATTACATATATGTACAAATGCCTCACCATGCGAAACGAGAAATCCATTTTCATTGTTAGGTTATGTACATGTACATATGGTACTTGTTAATGACAAAAAAGCTTACCTTGAATACCATAACATGATCTCTGCTATCTGCTAGTTTTCCAATAAGTGCATAGAATTTAAATTGAAGATTTACAGGTAGTAGCAACGCAGAATTGCAAAACCTTGAATGTCATAATCACAATGTAAACATTTAAAAGTCAAACAGAAATACATGGTTGCTTTCCGTGGCTGTACGTTTACGTATTACGAATTCACAAATTCACAATTACACAATAATTGTAATACACAACATATGGTACAAATTAAACAAAGCGTATTAGGCATAACAAAATGGACAAGTATATAAACACGTTGTAATTAACGAATAACACAATGTGCCATGTGCATAGACATAGGAATATAGAGACCGAGTACAAACATACAAGATAGGCGGGGGAGTGAAGCCGAAGTGCGGGGGGTAACTGTGCCTAATTTTCATTGGCTATGGCTATGCGCATACTCAGTACCGCTTTACTTCAAATGGTTTCAAGTCGTTTGACGCACAATTTCGGAATCAATCAAGTATATCAAAAGTAACTTAACATTGCAAAGAGTTAAATATAAAGAAAGTTTAAAAAAAAAGTTATTCATATTTATTTTGATTTTTCTATAAGCCCGAACGCGAAACGTTTATTTCTTAGCAATTGAGAAATTCGACTTACATCAATCTTGACAAATAAGAG